ATATTATATTATATTATATTATATTATATTATATTATATTATATTATATTATATTATATTATATTATATTATATTATATTATATTATTGTTAGTACTAGAAAATGAATTCGGAGACACTCGAAACACAAGGGTGCTCGAAAATCCTAGATGATCGAAAGAAGTTTCTAAAGAAGGTCTACGAAGCTTGAAGAGAATCAGGAGATACGCGAAGACAGTTTTCGTGAAATTCTCAAAATCCTCGAACCGGGAAGGATGCTGCTCAGGAGAAAGGCTCACAGTCTCACAGCCTCTCAAAGTACAAGAAAATCAGGAAACACTCAAGTATATTTTTCGTTGGTTACTCGAAATCCCAAGAATCCGGACATATACGAATACACTTCATAACCTCTCATAATGGAGAACTTAAAGGAAACACGAATTAGGAGCGGTTGAAGTAACATGGGATAAGTGTCAAAGGCTGCAGAACGGTTTGGGGAAGTTAACGAGCAGTTCCAAGAATTATCGAGAGACGGGCCCGGGAGCAGGCCACTACGAGGAAGTTTAGAACGGTTATGCACTTCCGGGATGCGTCAGAAACAGTTACCTTTCCCAAATCTTTGTCTATAAATTAAACGAGCCATGCTCGTAGAAAAGGGTCCGAAATCTAATTCCCACAATACCTCACACGCACTCCGCAGCCTGCGCATAAGGCATATTGTGCATACGAGACAGCTTTGGGTACGATTTCTCAACCACTTTTCTTTTCCTTTTTTAGGAGTAGCGTAGCATAGCATAATCTAGCCTAGTGTAGTGTAGTGTAGTCATTCTGAACATGTTTCGTGATCCTTACAAATTGTAATTCTGTTACCATTTAATGAAGAATATGATTTCTACAGTCAATATACATGTCATCTGCTCGATTCACGTTAATTATTACATGTATGAATTTTATTGTACAATTAGCATAGATCTTCTGATGTGCTGAAAAAGCATAGATCTTCTGAAGTGCTAAGACTGGCATAGATCTTCTGACGTGCTCGAAATAATGAGCACAGATCTTCTGAAGTGCCAAAACAGCATAGATCTTCTAAAGTGCTCGAAACAATGAGCATAGATCTTCTGACGTGCTGTAACAACACCCTAATTTAACTCTATTCGTTGCTTGTACAATTTATTCTTTCACGAAAAGTCTTCGATTCTGTCATGTCACGAACACGCATAAATTGAAACGTGAACTCGTGCTAGTTCGAACAAAAAGAACCTACGAATGAAATCCTCCACAAACAAATTGGCACGCCCGGTGGGAATCGTTTGGTGAGCTTAATCGAACAAAGTGAACTAGTTTTGTGTGTGTTTAATTTTTATGAGACTTAGAAGTGGGAGAATTATGTCTACATCCAGCAGAAGAGATACGCTTAATGAAGAACAGGGTAATGGAGAAAATCGGAATACAAATCAAGAAAATGTGCCAAATGAGACCAGGAGGCAATGTCTCCACCTCCTGTAAATATTCCGAACTCCGCGGGATTTATGAATGCGTCACAAGAAATTAAATGGTGAACGCTACCCGCGAATACCCATGGGGGATGCCTCCGAATTGGAGAAGTACCTAGCCCATGAGCGTAGAAATGCCAATACCATATTCTGGGCACAATCCTCAATAGCAAATATCATCATATGGGTATAATGCATCCCCAAATGGGATGGGCTTTATCATGCACGATCCTCACCAGCATGTTGGCACAACCCAAGAAGGGTCGTTGGTTCGACAAAGTAATTATATACCCACGGGTATAAGCAATGATGCCATGATAGCCCTTCGGCAACAAATGGATCATAGTAACCATGATATGGTAAATTTGTTGTCTACACAAATGCACAACATACTCACACCCCTATACGAGCTGATGAGCAAAATAGGAGATAAGGTCAATGATAATCGGCTCTCGAGGGATACGAGTGTAAATCTGAACGGCCTCGAAAATCCAACCGTGTCTATCATTCTTATGCAGTGATCTTTGTGCATACATGCAAAACAAGTGGAGTTGATTCATTTATATGCGGCAATGGCGTGTAAGTCATCCTTTTGGTCAAAATAGTGTTCATGTTGGTGAAGAAAGACAAGCAAATTAATTTGTCATGTCTACTTAAAAGCTAACCAAATAAGAGATGCATATATTTTGTAAGTAGCACAAAGCCATCAAGCTTTTGACTTAATACATTGTGAATTTGTAAAGTGGGTCCTTTTCATGTTTACTCTTCTTGTTTTCTATTTGACCATCGTGGATGATTTCACTCAGTGTATGAATATATTTTAACTGCAGCAAAGAGGGAAGTTAAGAAAACTCTTAATTCTATATATTTTTCTAAGGTGGTTCGATTTAATACAAATGTTAAAATAGAGACAAGTGACAATGGTGCTTAATTCAAAGTCTTGAAGAACTTTTTTTTTTCTTTTAAAAAATGAATGATCCACCAAACCTCCGTATTTGATTGACACTTCCCAATGGAATAGTTGTCAAAAAAGAAAAGGAAAATAAGCATATTTTATACGTTGCTTGAATTCTCCACTTCCAAGCTAATCTACTTATTTAAGTTGGGGGTGAATGTGTCCTTATTACAAGATGCTTGACAAATCCATCCACCATATGCAAAAGTAAGTCCCTATGAAATATTGTTTGGTTAGACTCCCATATTTATTCTCCTATCTTCATATTGGATACTTGTGTGTAGTGTCATGCTCGCAACTGATCTTGACAAAAAGACAAGTTGTGGGAGCAAAGTCGAAAAATGTTTTTGCAAGATATCTTTATGAGAGAATAGGACAGTTGTCTCTATGACCTGAATAGTGGGGAGTATTTTTCGAATCTTGTGATGTTGTATTTTGTGAAAATGATTTTCTTTTCAAATATGATCATTCTAATGCATAAGATCACTCTTTAAAAAAAAAAAAAAAAAAAAAAACTTTTGTAGAATGATGACTTTCCTTTCATTAATGAATTTAGCATCAGAATACATTATGTAACGGTTAAATCTCATATTAGTTAGATATAAAGTTAAAATAAAGTAAATAAATGAAGTACCTCTCACCTTACAAGTTAGATTTATAGAGTTAAATTAGGCTTAATCTTATATATTCTAAAATAGTATCAGAACTTGTCTTAAATCTATTAAAAGGAATATGTTGAACATGAAGGGTATATTCATTAGTGGAAAATTAGTATTTTACATCACCTCTTTAACGTTGGAAATACGAAAATCCGATGTAAAAAAGACACGGTAGTATTTTTGTAATTTTTGCAAACTTTTTTACGTCGGACTTGGTATGGTCTGACATAAAAAGTCAAATCTACGTCGGATGTATGTTGTGTCCGACGTAGATTTGACATTTTACGTCAGATCATATCAGGTCCAGCGTAAAAAAGTTCGCGAAATTTGAATAAGAGAGTGCGAGGCACATCGCGCGCATTCACTCTTCATCACTTTTCATTTTTTTCTCCGTAAACCCTCTCTCTCTCCTTTGTTACTGAATCATTTTTTTGTCTTTTGCAGAGGGGTGAACTCTTTGTTACTCATTCGCACACTGTTGCAGCTCATCAGGTATGAATCAAGGTTTCGTTAACACTTTTTTGCTTCGCATTGTTATTGTGGCTATCTGTTCTATTCGATTTTTTGGTTGTTCTATTTGTATAGGTCGTTGGCCTTTTCTTTTGCGTTGTTCTACGAAGCAGAACGGCCCGTTCTCCAAGCAGCACGGCCCATTCTCCTTGTAGAATGGGCCGTTTTGAATGGAGAACGGGTCGTTCTGCTTGCATTCTTATGTTTTTTTTTTTGTTTTTTTACTACTTTTTTACGTCGGATTTTTGGAATGTCCGACGTAAATTTACGTCGGTTTATAGGATCGAAGTAAATTTACGTCTCCCGCTTCTATGTCGGTATTTTTTCTAACATAAAAAGCTCAAAATATCCGACGTAAAATACTTATAGGCTTGGATTAAACTGAAGACTAGAACTTTACTTGTAAAATTACAAGTCAAAATTTTCATAGCAGATGGCTAAATCTACCCATAATTAAATT